AAAAAAAAAAAAAAAATTACTTTATTGAAATACATTACCAATGCAAAATACAATATAAAACATTGTTGTAGCTGATATTTTCCCCCAAACTGGTATACCAGTTCAGTGTAATAATAATCAAAACCCAAAACCTCAGTGGACAATTTAATAATTAATTCAGTTACTACTAGTTATGTGTAGCTTTTTTTTTTAATTTGGTTTTATTAGGAAGTCAGATTTACAGAGAGAAAGATCTTCCACTGGTTTACTTCCCAAGTGGCCACAGCTGAATTTATCTGCAGCCAGGAGCTTCTTCCAAGTCTGCCACGCGGGTGCAGGGTCGCAAGGCTTTGAGCTGTCCTCTACTGCTTTCCCAGGCCACAAACAGGGAGCTGGATAGAGGTGGAGCAGTGCAGACACAAACTGGGGCCCAGCCTTTTTTTTTTTTTAAGACAGAGTTAGAGGAGGAGAGATAGAACAGATCGGTCTTCCATCTGCTGGTTAACTCCCCAAGTAGCCACCATGATCTGAGAATCCAGGAACTTCTTCCCAGTCTCCCACATGGGTGCAAGGGCTCAAGGACTTACACCGTCCTCTGCTGCTTTACCAAGCCATTAACAGGGAGCTGGATGGAAAGTGGAAAGGGTGGTGCCTCAGGCAGAGGTTTAACCTGCATTGTTAAGGCACCAGTCCCATATGTAGCTCTTATTTGAGGCTGCTCTGTTAGAGAAAGGGTAGTGATTCCTCTGCTAAAGGTGTGGTTTACAGAAAACCCAAGTAAAAAGCTCACCTTGAGTAGACTTATAATACATAAGTCTTAATAAATGCTATAAAAAGGTGTTTTCTAAATTTCAGCTCTCCCTTTTTTAGGTTATTTTGTGGGCAAATTAGAAGTGAGGCATATATTTTGGGCCAAGATTAGATGAATTACTGGGTTTTTAAGGTTTTTTTTAAAGATTTGTTTTTATTTTTATTAGAAAGGCGGATATACAGAGGAGAGACAGAGAGGAAGATCTTCCGTCCCATGATTCACTCCCCAAGTGAGCGCAACGGCCGATGCTATGCCGATCCAAAGCCAGGAGCCTGGAACCTCTTCCGTGCATCCCACATGGGTACAGGGTCCCAAGGCTTTGGGCCGTCCTCGACTGCTTTCCCGGGCCACAAGCAGGGAGCTGGATGGGAAGTGGAGCTGCCGGGATTAGAACCGGCACCCATATGGGATCCCAGGCATGCAAGGCGAGTACCTTAACCGCTGTGCCACCGCGCCAGGCCCAAGGGTTTTAAAGTTTCAAGGAACATTAATTTTGGCTGCACTGTAGAAAACAAAACTGGCATAAAATTTAACCAGAAATGAAAGTTAAAGATAATGCAATGGCAGTATAAACTATGAGTGGGCAGTATAAAATAGGAGTAGGTAACACATAGGAAACTTTGGGCCTAAGGAGGTTAATAATGACACAAAGCCATGCCAAAAGCTTTCATGTTACCAGGTTATATATAGTGGGAGGATGTAGAAAAATCACTCTTAGTCTAAAACTGATACTCATGACCATTTGATAAAAATAACTTATTAATTTGAATTTAAGCTAAAAAATAGTGTTTAGGAGGTGAAAGCAAAATACTAAGAATGTATCATTTTGCCACTTCTCTCTACTTTGGGTTTCAAAGCTTGCTTTCTGCATTTCTCTTTTCCCGTGCTCCGACTAAAGCTATTCGTTTTACAACTGCTCTTGACCTGAATGCGTAGACCTGGAGCTGCCCAGAAAAGCCTTTTTAGGAAAAACGGCATTTTCTCTCAAGTTATATTGTGCTGGTATTCCATAGACAGTTACCCAGTAAAGTCTGGCTTCCCAATGAATGTTAGTACTGAGATCACATCTTTAACACTACTTTAAGAATGTCATCACTAAAGTGTATGTAAAGCATATAAGAATAACATTAAAGCTTTTAAGAACCATTCAAACTTGGACCTAATGGAAAAGTCCTAGTAGGATTTAAAATACAAAAGCACACACAGCACTTTTACAAAAAAATTAATTCATCCATAAAAATTTAGGCTCTGGAGCTAATGGAACCAAGATGAACTGTTGTCCCCTTTGACAGCCAGCTTCCAAAGTGAAAGCAGCCACTTGCAGTCTTCCACACTGTTGGCAGTGGACTAAGCGACAAGTTTTGGTTGAAGTATTGCATGCTTCCTCTAAAATGCGTATGAAAATGCAAAGCCTAAAATAGGCAAACCAGTCTTGAAGAAATTAGAGGTTTGCACTACCCTGTTTCAAGGCTTAGAAAGCTACAGTCATCAGAACTGTGTCTTAAAGGCATGGGGGTGAAATAGCTCTGTTGTCACACAAAGATAGAGGCTGGCAGTTAACATGCTTGTGTACCAGAGTAGCTTGGTGCCAGAGTACCAAGGCCAAGGCTGATGCCTGCCTCTGGCCCTGGGTTTCTGCCTCCCACATGGGAGACCCAAATCGGCCTCCCCAACCCCACCTTCTGCCCTGCCAGGCCCCAGCTGTTGGGGACACTTGGAAGTGATCCAGCAGATGGAACTACGCATGTTCCCTATCTGCCTCTCAAATATTTGTGCATTGGTGGGGATTGTTTTGTTTTTTAGGATTTGGGGGGGGGGGGTGTTTTGGGTTTTGTTTGCATATTTTGTAAAAAGGAACTAAACCTCAAATGTTAATCCATCACAATGGCATCATTGTAAATAAATGGAGAAACATTTTAACAAATGATATTGCAGCTGTGGGATATCTACATGCAAAAAGTAAACCTTTTCCCCCACAATAAATGAAAATTTGAGGTGTCTTGTAGATCAGTAGTAGAATCAGAGTAGGGAAAGGCTGTGTGTTATGACCAGGACCTGGGGAAGAGAAAGGCTCTGCACGTTTGCTCGCCACTGAGTGCTTGAAGCAGTCGAGAAGCTGGGTCAGAGTGGAGATGTATGAATCAGCAGAGTGGCTCTGGTCATTGTCACTGCTGAGAAACACAGGAAGTACTGGGATGAGGCCAGCTTCCCACAGAGTTCTAGAAAGCATGACTTCGAGATGTTTGGAGAAGTTTTTAGATCCCTTCTGAGCTAGCTACAACTGTAGCCCATCAGAATGTCACCCTAGGGTATCTTAGTGGTTCCCATTGCTTACGATACTTTTCCCTGTCATGATAACAATTTTAAGAGGAATTTGAACAAATAGAACTCATTAAATGAGGATGAATGCAAAGGGAGAGGGGGATGTCTTCAAAACCATGTGAGAGTAGTAATGGTGAAGGAGCTGTTGTGCCTCTTCTGGAAATGAGCAGTTTGCAAAGAGCACGCTCATAATCTCATGTTTGCAGGACAGAAGGGTCAATATCTGCTGTGGGCTGGACGAGTGAAAATCAGGAAAGTGGTGAGAAAAGAGGGAACAGAAAGGGGCAAGGCCTTGTAACCAAGATAAGGTGTTTGCACTTGAGCACAGTGCTAGCCGTCCTCACAAGGTCCTAAATACAATGTTAATGTGATTGGATTGGGGCTCTAGAGAAGTCTGTGCTGGCTACCATTTTAAATTGGATTTAGAGGTTAGGAAAGGGGAGCTATTGAAGTACAGGGAAGGATTGGGCATTTCAGTTACTACTTAAGATGCCTGTGTCTTGTATTGGAGTCCCTGAGTTCAAGTCCCTGCTATTCTGCTTCCACTTCATCTGACTGCTGGTGCACACCCTGGAAGACGTCAGATGCTGGCTCAACTGTTTCAGTTCTTGCCACCCCTGTTGCAAACAGTCTGGCCGTTAACTGGCATTTGGGGAATGAGCCAGCAAATGGAAATTCCCTTGCTCTCTCTCTGTCTTTCTGCTTTTCCAATGAAATAAAAATAAGTGAAGGGGCCAGCACCTGCATCCCATATGGGTGCTAGTTTGAGCCCTGGTTGCTCCAGTTCCCATCCAGCCTCCTGCTTGTGGCCTGGGAAAGCAACAGAGGATGTCCCAAATCCTTGGGACTCCACCTGCATGGGAGACCTGGAAGAAGCTGCTTGCTTCAGAACAGCTCACCTCTGGCATTGCAGCCATTTGGGGAATATACCAGCAGATTCCTCCTCTCCATAACTGCCTTTCAAATAAGAATAACATAAATCTTTATTAATAAATATATAACTTACACAGATGTAGCTATAAGAAAAGTCTATTCAAAGTAGGTAATCCATAGTATTATAGCACTTTGGGAAAGATTGACGTGACACAGTAGAGAAGAGAAGTGGTCATTTCTGGAGCCTTTGTACTTGTATTGCCCGGAATTTGTGTAATGACTAGGTATTACAGTAGGCCTCAACCTAAAAGGTTGGAATCTTCTCCATTGCCTTGAAAATGCTGAGAAAGCCGTTAGTGGGCCTGTTTGATTTGGCTTCTAACCTTAATGTTGATGTAGAATCTACCATTTCTGCTACGTCTCCATCTGATGAGGAGCCTTGCTGTTCCATCTGCAAGTACCCAGAACAGTACTGCACACATTAGAAAAGTCATTCGTGGAGCCAGTGTTGTGCACAAGTTAAGCCACTGTCTGATGCCAGCGTCCCACACAGGAGCACCTGTTTGAGTCACGGAGATTCGCCTTCTGATCAGGCTGGCTAGGAGAGCAATGGAATATGGCCCATGTGCTTGTGCCTGTGCCACCTGGGTCAGAGTTCTAGGCTCCCAGGTTCAGCCTTGCCCAGCCCCATGCCATTGTGGCCATTTGGAAATGAATTAACAGGTGAGACCTCTGTCTCCCATCCCCTCATCACTCTGCCTTTCAAATAAATACATGAATTTTTTTTTTTTTAAAGAAAAAAAGCCATTGGTATCCAAGGATATCGGACTGTATAGTTTTCTCCCTACAGTGGTATACTATTGTTTGATACACTAATTTTTTTCCAGTATTATTAATTTGCGCAAGTATTACGGGTATAGGCAGGAAATAATTATCATAATTAGAATGCTGTATTACTTCATGTCATTGAAGATGAAGAGCATTTAGAACTTTAATTTCTTTTAATCTCTTCAAGCTGGAAGCTCCTTGACATCGTTTGGCACCGAAACATCCAACAGTGGTTCCTTGTCCCAAAGCAGTACAGTTTCTGCCTTTACACAGGATACAAGATCTATAAAAACACAGTTATCTCAAGGTAAGCTGGTTTTCCATTCCAGTATTTTTATTCTGAATTTCCATAGTGATTTTTGTCTTTGAATGGAAGAGCTTTTGCAGCTTGTAAATCACATGTATAAGTTCTGTTTGGTTCTTGTACGATTTTTTTCCCAGTTGTATCACAGTACATATGAAATGACTTCCATTATTTAGACTTTTTACAATGCTTAAATCATAAAACCAAACTGATGAGTGTTCTCTAAAAAGTTTTTTTGCAAAGCAAATTGTGAGACCTGGGTACAACACTGCAATGGATCACATCAGTCTCACGCACAGTACTGTGATGGGCTGTCCTATATGAATGTGAAATGCCGTCTGAACGAATGGTTATGCCATTGCATCTTCCTTGATATCTTCAAAAGATATATCCACAAAGATACAGTGTGGACCATATGAAAAGAATCGCCTGAAACACTTGCTTAAAATGCAGATCCTGGGGCAGCCATTGTGGGAACGCAGGTTAGAAAGTCATCACTATGTCAGAGTGCCTGGCATCCAGTCCCACTTCTGCCGCTCCTTACATCCAGTTTCCTGCCCATTCTCCTGAAAGGTAATAGGTGATGGTTCCGGAATTCACTCCCTGGGTACCAGTTTCTACCTAGCATGTGGAGTGAACCAGCAGATGGAAGGTGCCATCACTCTCTCTGCTGCTGTTTGCCTTTCAAATAAATAAAAACAAATAAACATCCTATTGCTATATAGCTGTATATTTTATTTATATTAAACATCTTACGCATTTTTATATTAAAATGGTTTATGTATATATGTAAATACATATATATCCCAGCATTGTGGGGTATAATACTGCCTACCCATCTCGAAAGTGTCTGTAGTTTCAGCTGTTCAGCTTATATCTCACTGCTGCTGCATCTGCTTGAGCAGCAGATGATGGCCCAGATGCATTATGGCTCCTGCCGTAGGACACCCAGAAGGAAATCCTGGCGCCTGGTTTCCGCTCTGGCCATGGTGGCCATTTGAGGAGTCAACCAGTAGACAGGAAATCTTAGTCTCTCATTCTGACATTCAAATAAATGTGTTAATAAATATTTAAATATATATGCGTATATATAGAGAGAGAGAAACTGGAAGTTTGATATAAAAAATTACCAATGCTATCTGAAACCTCCCATATCCAAGGAAGATCTGCAGTTTAATAAGTGTCTTACAACATCCTGTTTCACTTTTAAAATTTGGTTTTAAATCATCTAGTATCATAAAACTTTGATCACAAGATCATGTATCTGTTTTTTAATCTGTTAAATTAAATATTACTGGTTCATAGTTTTATATGAAGGTTTCCATTTAAGCGAAGCATTGTAACCTATTTGAGAAAGATGCTGAAGCAGTGAGCATTTGACCTAGCAGTTAAGGTAGCAACAAAGAAGCCCACATCACATGTTGAAGTACCTTAGTTCAAATCGCAGCTTCCTGCTTCCTGCTTCTGCTGTCCCTGGGAAGCAATGATGATAATCAAATGATTGGGTTGCTGCCACTCTATGGGAGACCTGGATTGAGCTCCTGGCTCCTGGCTTGGGTCCTGCCTGACCCCAGCCGTTACAGACACGGGGAGAGTGAACCAGTAGATGGGAGCTTTCTCTGTCAAGTAATTGAAAACAAAGTGTACTCTCAAGGCATACTTTTAAAAACTGCTAAGAATTAGGGGGAAAAAAAACTGTACTAAGCATAATCTTATATATTTCATTTGAACAATTTTGAGGTAGCTGTAGTTACTGTTATTTATTGATTTAAAATAATTTTTAAATATCCTGAAGATTTGTTGTAAACAAATTTAAAGTTATAAATGTATGGAAGGAATTAAAATAGTCATAAGCTTACTAAACTATAAAATGGGCTTTCTTGGTAAATGAACAGACTTACTGTGAGAGTGAATGTGTGCTGTGCCCCTAGCATAGTACCTAACATAGAAAACATGTTCAATAGATAGTAAATGTTTTTAATAAATAACCAACATCAAGGTTCATCATGAAGCACCAAAAGAATTCTTACTAAAATCAAGGATGCCTGCTGCTGTTCAGCCTTATTCTGTAGTTTCTTGCTAAATCAGGAATGCATGCAAAAAAAAAAAGAGAGAGAGAGGCATGAATATTGGAATTAATATATGCCACTGTAGTAGTTTCTAGTGGAAATTAAGAATTCACAGAGAAATCTAAACTAGTGAGGGACTTACTCTAGGCAGAGGTGAAATGTAGAGAACATATACAGAAACTGGTGGTTTTCCTAAAACATGCTCCGTTGGTTATGTAAGAGCAACAGAAGAGGGTCACAGCAATGGAAAATAGAGACAGGCACGAGAAGAAATGTCAAATTAAGATTGAAAGACTATTCTTTATGTTGATTGAACTTTCCGTCAGTGGCATAGGAGAACTTAGAAAGATTATCTTAAAAATAAACATGGACAGGAGTGGGTTTTGGACCTAGCACGTAAGGCGCTGGTTAGGGATCCCAAGTTACAGTGCAGGGGGTTAAGCTGCTGTGATACCAGTGAGGTCCCAGTTGCTCCACTGTACAACTCCCTGCTGATACATGTGGGAGAGCAGCAGAAAGTGGGCCCCTACTGCTCAAAGGAGAGATCTAGACCGTTCCTGGCTCTGGCGTTCTGAGCTTTCAAACAAATAAATAAACCTCTTAAATAAAAATGTTAAAGAAGCTTGTTAGGACACATGTATCCCACGTTTGAATCTGGGCTCAATTCTGAGCTCTGCCTCCTGATTTGCTGTTGAATCCTGGAAGGCAGCCGTGATGGCTCAGGTGTCGGGCTGCTGTCATCCCCGGACGACTAGAATGGGGCATCACAGCCTTTGTGGACACTTCAGGTGTGAACCAGCAAATGAAGCAATGTCTGTCAAATGACAACAAATACTGTTTCTTAAAACTAAACATGGACATGTATGTAGCAGGGCATACTTGGAAAATTAAAGTAGTGGGCTTCCCTGCTTGATACTGTTTAATGTATAAAATAAAATAGTCTAGGAAAACAACAGAGATGAGTGGAACAAAATAGAAAGTAGGCAACAAATCCACATATACATAAGAATTTAGTGGGTGGTAAAGATACTTTTAAATGAGAAAAGGATAGATTAAACTAGGATGTTAGAATTTAAGGTGTTTTGTATTAAGAAAAAGCTTATATTATATAAAAGTATGGCAAAGAATTCCTGGAAACCAGCATTTAACTTTCACCAACGAAAGTTTCTGAATTTCACATCATGGAAACAGTTGGAAGTTTTAATGATGATAAAAACATGAAGCTAACTCAAAGGGATGAGTTTTCATTATGCTGAACCATAGCTTTTGGGTTTATTCAGAGTAATTTGTCCATTGCCACTCATATTTCTGTATTGATAACAAATTTGGGGTCATAATTAGTAGATGTTAGTAGTGAAAAGGTGTTCTAATCCACGTGTGAATGTGACACCTGCTGTGATGTTCCCCTTGCTTGTACCTCTGCTCTTATATTGGGCTACACGATCTTGTCTTGGAGAAAAGCCTTAATAGTTTTTATGACCTTGAAGTTCATTTAATGTAATATTCTAACATAGCAATAGACCTTCCAGAAGACTCAACACCTGTGCTAAGTTGATTGTAAAATATGTTCTACTAGGGCAAAGCTTATATTAACCTCAATGGTTTTCTATTTATAATCAATGAAAAATTGGTATTTCTAGTAATGGTTAACTTATGATTTAATGGTAATTTTGCTTGTTTCTGAGGGTTGTTTTTGTGTGTGTTTTGTTGGGGTTTTTGGCAATGGTAACTTGGCCATTAGTGGCTCAAAACAGTAATACACATTTGTATTGCATTCTTGAGATAACCAGGAGATTGGGGAATATTATTAATAAAGTGTGCCTGAAGCATCTTGGTGCACAATAACTAATGCATTATCAGCACTCACCAGTTTACCAGTTGTTTGGTACTTGTGCAAATTCACATACATGGGCAGTAGTATATTTGAAAAATTTTTGCATAAAATGAGCATATGTTAGAAAAAAAAATTGTATTTTGATATAATGTCATGGGGTATGAGAGCTCTCTGAACAGGGCTTGACAGCAAAATTTATGGGGACAAAAAGACATGATGGACGAACCCACTGTTAACATTCTTTTATTTATCCTGTGACCAGGCTCTGACCTCATAGAAGGAATTTGTTAGTACATACCCCCATGTTAGCCAAAAACTTGCCAAAGTGTCTTTCAAATGGCAAGGAATGAATATGGCTACCGTGCAGTTATCTAAAGGGTTTATTCGTTGCTGACCTTTGAATTTTGCTTAGTTATTCAAGCACTTGAGGTACTGAAGGTCTTCATGTATCTTTCAGTTCTTTACTTTTTTATCATAGAAATTTAATGTTAACAGTACTGATAAAGGTAGCACTGTAGTCATTTGTGAAAGATGCTAAGTTAAAATGTGCCAAGTAATCTTGTGGTACTTGTTGTTGGGGAAAACTTACATTTGGCTGACTGACCATATGATCTTTGATAATGTTCCTAGGGACTCTTAAACCAGATAGAAGCTTTTGAAAAACCTTAATCCACAAGGTAGAAAGTTGTAGAGACGGAATTTTGGGGGAGTCGGGGTGGAGGGGTAGATTTTTAACTTTCTGTTTTTAACCTTGTTAGCAACCTGTTAGGAATAACCAGTGTTAAGCTCTGGTCTGATAGATTAACTCAGATTCATGCTAAGAATTAGGCAGGTTTTTTTTGTTTTGTTTTGTTTTCCAGTCTAGATTATTTTGAAAGCCCCAGGAGAGTAGTTTCTTATCTGTTGGTTACATTTTAGGTCGTTCAAGCCCTCAGTTAGACCCTTTGAGAAAAAGCCCAACCATGGAACAAGCAGTGCAGACCGCCTCGGCCCACTTACCTGCTCCGGCACCTGTTGGGAGAAGGAGCCCTGGACCAGCCAGGCCTTTGCCATCTACCAGCCAAAAAGCAATAGAGAATCAAGAGCACAGGCGAGGTAGAACTTTAGCTGTTTACTGTTCCTTAATTGACTGACCAGTGTTTTGCACTCACCTTATTTTCATTGAGTATTTACTTTATATGAGTGATCCTAGAAGATTTAAACTGAATTTGATAGAATGTTCACTCTGACTTGAAGTGGTGGGAGGGGGCATAGATCTGGGAGCACTGCAGAAGGTTTGGTTGGGAGCTGTCCCGATTTCTAACTGTGCAAGAATGTTTGATGATGTGTCCTGAGTTGATTTTGCATGCCTTCTTTTATAGCTGAAGTACACAAAGTTTCAAGACCAGAAAATGAGCAACTCAGAAACGACAGTAAGAGACAAATAGGTAAGTTACTTGGATCTGAAAGCCATGTCCTGTGTGTTTCTCAAGAGAGAACATTTTAGATGTTCTACTGTTACATAATTAATTTTTAAAAAATGAAATTGGTTGGTGACTATGAAGGAGTAACGCAAAGGAGTCTGTGCTAGCAGGATCATTTGTGATAACAGAACAATTGTTGATCTTGATAGTGGTGATGATTATGCATATCTGCACGGTTAAATGTCACAAAGCTGTGCATAAAGACATAGACACAGATGAGTACATGCACAAACTGAAGCCATGGAGCTACAGATGTAAGATATGGCAGCTGAAAGCACCTCCCCCCCTTTTTTTAAGTAATTGTTAAGAACTTTAATTTTTCATGATTATTGATCTAGTGAGGTAGTATGTTTTATGTTGTAAATGCTATATTATTTACCTTGATTGTTTTTATTGATATTACCAAATAGAATAATCAGTCTAGATTATTTTTTGAAAGCCCCAGTATGGTAGTTTCTTATCTGTTGGTTACATTTTATTTATTTTTTTAAGATTTATCTATTTTTAGTTAAAAGCCAACATATGATCACTTGATTTAGTTACTAGATTAACACTGCCTTTGAAACGATCTTTAAAAAGAAAAACATAATAGTGTTTTCCGTATAGATGTCTATGTCTGACCCAGGTCCCTGCTGATGCGCCTAGGAAAGCAGAGAGGATGGGCTAAGTGCTTGCGCCCCTGAGTCCTCATGGGGGCGGATTTTCAGACTGATCCAGGGCCTGCTGTTTTAGCCATTTAGGGAATCTACCAGTGATGGGAAGATCTGTCTCTCTTGTAACTCTGCCTTTCAAATAAAAAAATAAATATATTTTAAAAAATAAAAATGCTAGAAAGAATATTCATTATCTGTTGATGAACCACTTGGGAAAGGTAAATGAGTTGTAAAGGATGATGGAAGGTAACTATTATTTACTTTTTTTTTTTAAGGCGGTTGTATAAGGAGAGACAGAGGGTGGGGCAGAGAGCCTCCAGCCACTGGGTCACTCCCCAGAGGACCACAACCACTGGGGCTGAGCGAAGCTAGAATGTCCACATGGTGACCTAAAACCTATGCCACAACACTGGCTCCCAGAACACTTCTTTTAAAAGGTGGATTGTGGGCCCAGTGTGATAGCCTAATGGGTAAAGTCTTTGCCTTGCATGCGCCAGAATACCATATGGGTTCCTATCCCAGCTACTCCACTTCCCATCCAGTTTCTTGCTTGTGGTCTGTGAAAGCAGTCAAGAGGACCCAAGGCCTTGGAACCCTGCATCTGTGTGGGAGATCCAAGAGGCTCCTGGATTTGGATCAGTCCAGCTGTGGCTTTTAGCCAGCAGATGGAAGCTCTTTCTGTCTCTCCTTCTCTGTAAATTCGCCTTTCCAAAGAAAATAAGTAAATCATTAAAAAGGTGGATTGTGCTGTACTTTCTGGTGAGTGTTTTTTAAGACAGATGATAGTAAATTATGTTGTCTCCCATCCAAGTCCTAACCAGGACCGACCCTGCTTAGCTTCTAAGATCAGCCGGGTCAGGGACAGTCAGGGTGGTATGGCCGCAGAAAGTTGTGTTGTCAGTTTCTGGTGAGTGTTAGAGGCTTTTTTTTTTTTCTTTTTTATTGGAAAGTCAGATATACAGAGAGGAGGAGAGACAGAGAGGAAGATCTTCCGTCCCATGATTCACTCCCCAAGTGAGCGCAACAGCCGATGCTATGCCGATCCGAAGCCAGGAGCCTGGAACCTCTTCCGTGCATCCCACATGGGTGCAGGGTCCCAAAGCTTTGGGCCGTCCTCGACTCCTTTCCCAGACCACAAGCGGGGAGCTGGATGGGAAGTGGAGCTGCCGGGATTAAAACCGGCGGCCCATATGGGATCCCGGTGTGTTTAAGACGAAGACTTTAGCTGCTAGGCCACACTTCCACGCCCTAGAGGCATTAATTTTTTAATAGTGAAGTTGGATTTTTTTTTTTAAGATTTATTTTTATTATGTTTTTATTGGAAAGGCGGATATACAGAGAGGAGAGACAGAGAGGAAGATCTTCCGTCCGATGATTCACTCCCCAAGTGAGCGCAACGGCCGATCCGAAGCCAGGAGCCTCTTCTGGGTCTCCCACGTGGGTGCAGGGTCCCAAAGCTTTGGGCCGTCCTCAACTGCTTTCCCAGGCCACAGGCAGGAAGCTGGATGGGAAGCGGGGTTGCCAGGATAGAACCGGCACCCATATGGGATCCCGGGCGTGCAAGGCGAGGAGTTAACCACTTGCGCCACCGCACCGGGCGCAGTAGTTGGATGTTTTAAACATCCTGCTTATCTAGGTGTGTTTGGTTATGCTACTGTGACTGTTAGAAAATTTGTTTTCTCAATCCCAGGCAATCAACCACACCTCAACAAACAGTGAATACAACCTGTTTGTTCCCCCATGGTCACTTTTAGTCTATGTCAGGATGTGCTGACCATTTCCTGTAATTGCAGTCATACGGCCTTGTACTGTGCATTTATCAGTTTATCTACACTAAATACAGTTTTTGTTTTTTCTTCATAGTTTTCCTGTTAGGTTAGATATTTGGGTTTCCCAAACTTTCATTGTGACTTGTACTGCTCTATATTGCTTTTTCATCTTAAATAATTTGCTAAATTCCCATGATTGATTGATAGATAATGGATAGGTACCAGGGGACTTGAGTGATGTGGAGTCATCTAGAGGGTGAAAGACAGTGAAGGGAAATGTTTGGCGTCAGAGCTCTCTTGTCTGTCTTTTATTGCCAACGCTAACGCCCTCAAGGAGCGTGGTTGACCTGAGTGCGGAAGTCACCTTGCCTGTGTGCTTGTGTCTCTTCGACAGCCCACTCACAAATAGAAATGTCCAGAAAATCTGTGTGTACAGTATATATTTTTAAAAGATGCAGTATATTGATCTTAGAAAGACTTGTAAGCATTTTGTTACCACTCTACCTTAAGGCCCACAGTAGCAGTTGCTGTCCTGCCCCAGGGACCCTGCAGCATGCTGACTGATTTCTCTGATCTCTTGCCACAGTGCCAGGTGCTCCTTCAGCACCAAGGAGAGGGCGTGGAGGCCATCGAGGTGGCAGGGGAAGGTTTGCTATCCGGCGAGATGGTCCAATGAAATTTGAAAAAGACTTTGACTTTGAAAGTGCCAATGCACAATTCAACAAGGAAGAGATCGACAGAGAGTTCCATAACAAACTGAAGTTAAAGGGTATGATCTTCCTTGGTCTGCGGGCCATGAATGTTTCTTAGAGGAGGTCACCGCTTTTCGTTAGTGACTTTTCTGGTGTGTGCTTGCTTTCCATTAGAGGACAAGCTGGAGAAGCAGGAGAAGCCTGTCAATGGGGAAGACAAAGGTGACTCGGGCGTGGACACGCAGAACAGTGAGGGAAACGCCGACGAGGAAGATCCCCTAGGACCCAACTGCTACTACGACAAAACCAAATCCTTCTTCGATAACATTTCTTGTGATGATAACAGGTATGGACTTTTTTCTTTCTTTCTTTCTTTCTTTTTCTCTTTTTTTTTTTTTTTTTTTTAAGGATTTTATTTTTCTTTCGAGCTGTTCTGTTCTTATGTTGAAGTATAAAGTGGGTTTGTGTAAATTTACTACATTTTGTGAGTACATAAAAATATCTAATGGCCACAATAGATTCTCTCAATGTCTTATTTTTCTAAAATAAAATACCATTTAGTGAAATTTTATATTATTTCAGAAGCAGAAGTAGTCATATGTATCTGTTTAGGAATGTGTTCGCATCCATTAGTAATTAGAGCGAAAGCATTCAAGTAACACCAGAAGCATTTGCATTCCCATTTGACTACCACGTTTTCTTCAATGCGTAGATTTTAGTGGCTATGCTTGTGGGATAGAGTAAAGTTGCCATGATCTGAGGAGGAGGGGGTTTTGGTACCCTCTTTCCACATGAAATGGCTGAACAGAACACCATTGCTTATGATACTCCAATGCTGTCTTAAATGTAATAAAACCAAAAAGCTTGAGTGATAACTTTAATCTTTTTTTTTTTTTTTTTTTTTTTTTTGCTTTGCCCCTCAACTGTGTGGTTCAGATGAAACCAGGGTCAGACATACAAATTGAAGATTGAAGTTTGGTGATGTGTTGCAACCCTGCCGTACTGTAGTGCATATGAGTACAGAGAACTCACGTTATCGTGAGGTTATTTAAAGAACTGGTGCTGCCCGGTGTCTTTATCCTGGCTACAGTGTGGCGCCGCCTAGTGGCGGTTGTTTACATGGACGGGTCTGTGCTGCTTGGCTTGGGCCGCCTTCCACCAAGGCTGCACAGAGAGTACAATCAGTTGCCATTAAACCTGAATTTCTGTTTCTCTGGGCCTGTACCAGCTTACTTTTATTTTGTATTTTCAAGAAGCTATCAGTAGTGTTTTGACATGATTTTATCAGAATATTGTCAGAACATGTGGAACTCACATGCCACAAATAGATAGCTTTTGCTATTTTTTGTCATTTTAGTGGCTGTTTAGCAGTTACTTTGCCTTAATTTGGGAAATAATGCTACTTTTTGTTGTTGTTTTTCTGAACAATGTTCTTTTAAAGCTAATGTTTCACTAAAGATCTCTCGTTTTTTATAATAGAGAACGAAGACCAACCTGGGCTGAGGAAAGAAGATTAAATGCTGAAACGTTTGGGATCCCGCTCCGTCCAAACCGTGGCCGCGGGGGCTACCGAGGCCGTGGGGGTCTCGGGTTCCGTGGTGGCCGAGGACGTGGTGGAGGGAGGGGCGGTGCCTTCACCGCCCCACGAGGATTTCGTGGTGGATTCAGAGGAGGTCGTGGGGGCAGAGAGTTTGCAGATTTTGAGTATAGAGTAAGTATTATTATGCTACTTGTTAATATATATATATATATTATATATATTATATATATATATTATATATATATAATATATATATATATATATATATATATATATATATATATATATATATATATTGTTATTGGAAAGGCAGATTTACAGAGAAAAGGAAAGAGAGAAAAAGGAAGATCCTCCATCCACTAGTTCACTCCCCAAAGTGTCCACAGTGGCTGGAGCTGAGCCGATCTGAAGCCAGGAGCCAGACGCTTCTTCCAGGTCTCCTATGCAGGTGCAGGGTCCCAAAGCTTTGGGCCGTCCTTGACCACTTTCCCAGGCCACAAGCAGGGAACTGGATGGGAAGTGCCCATATGGCAAAGCAAGGACTTTACTAGGCTACTGCACCAGGCCCATAATTGGCTGATTTCAAGAACTGGAGATTTTTTAACTGAGACAAAAATTTTTTTTTGCTGCTTTTATTTGAAGAAAAAAACAGAACAGTGATCTCTTTTATTATAAAATGTCGGAGTGTGTGTTATAGACATGTTTGAGTATGTGTGGCCTAGGAATCCCCCACCCCAAGGAAAACTAGAGATTCATTCACAGAAGGGCTCCCTAAAGACCTCATAGGGTGAAGACTGCGGCTCCATCTCCGTTCACATGGGGAAGGATGGCGCGTGCTCACAGGCAAGCCCTCCCAGTGGCCGGCAGCTGAGACTGTCTCTCTAGTCTCAAGTATTCCTCCAGTTCAGCTGTGTTTTAAGCTTCACAATAACTCTATTAGGTTGTTCTCTCACTATTATTCCCATTTTACAAAAGAAACAGGTATATATGTAAGTGACTTATTCAAGTCACACAATTAGGCGTTGATGACCTTGAGTATTCAAGCTAGCAGTTTGTTCCTGGCGTCAGGGCTCTTAATTTAGTCTGTGGAAACCCACTTCATTTTCCCTGATTCCTTATTTCACCATGGTCTTTTTTCTTTCTTTCTTTTTTAAGATTTATTTATTTTTATTGGAAAGACAGAGAGGAGAGACAGCTGTGTCCCCTGCCCTTGCCCAGCCCCCTCTGCTCCCACAGCCCCCATGACTCAACCCCGCACAGGTGCTGCTGGAAGATGAGGATCCACCCGCCCACCCCTTACCTCCATGCAAATGCAACTGTACCTGCAGAAGGTGCAGCCCCCCACCCCGCTACTCCCTTCCATGAAGGTGCAGTCCCTGCCACCCCCGGCCCACCCTTCTGTGCAGCAGCAGCTCCAGCACCCAGACCCCACCCTAACTCAGCATCAGCCTCCATCATGGCCCCGGGCACTTACAGCCCATGCGGTTCTCTGGCCATATCCAGCAGCCCGCCAAGCCTCAGCAAGTCATCCAACCGCGGCATCACAAGCCAGACCCCTACTTAGCCGGTCACCTCCGGGAAGCCCCCTCCCCGCTTATGATACATTCCCCCTCAGATGCCTCCATTCCAGAGCCTCACCCACCAGTCTCCACCCCAGCAGAATGTCCAGCCTAAGAAGCAGGAACTACGTGCGGCTCCTGTGGTGCAGCCCCAGCCCCTGGTGGTGGTGAAGAAGATCCACTCGCCCATCGTCCACAGCGAGCCCTTCAGCCCCTCGCTGCGGCCAGAGCCTCCAAAGTACCCAGAGAGCATCAAGGCCCCCGCCCACCTGCCCCCACGCCCTGAGATGAAGCCGGTGGGCATGGGGAGGGCTGTGATCCAGCCCCCTGGGCAGACCGCACCCCCGCTGGGTGCCCCCGACAAGGACAAGCAGAAACAAGAACCCAACACACCAGCTGCACCCAAAAAGGACCTGAAAATCAAGAACATGGGCCTCTCGGCCAGCCTGGTGCAGAAGCACCCAACCATCCCGTCCTCCACCGCCAAGTGGTCCAGTGACAGCTTCGAGCAGAAGGAGGAGCGCGAGAAGGCCCTGAAGGCGCAGGCCGAGCACGCCGAGAAGGAGAAGGAGCGCCTGAGGAGCCGCGAGGACGAGGATGCTCTGGAGCAGGCACAGCATGCCGAAGAGGAGGGGCGCCAGCACCAGGAGCAGCAGCAGCGAGCAGCTGCCCCCCAGGCCCAGAGTTCCCAGCCCCAATCCATGCTGGAGCAACAGCGGGAGCCGGAATAGGGAGCAGGAGCTGCAGCACCGGGAGGCAATGGCAGCCACGACTGACATGAATTTTCAGAGGGATCTATTGTCAGTGTTTGAGGAAAATCTTTTCTGAGAACACCTAGGTGACTGGTGACTTGTGACTTTGACTTTCTGGCAACACGTTGACTCTCCAGAGTGTCAGGGGCGGCAGTGGAGGCAGGAGCAGCGGCCAGCGGTGTTTTCTGGCCTGGCCCTCCCGCATGTTATGCCCAGGGCAGGCCTGATGGGCAGCTGAGGATCGCAGAGCCTGTCTGCCTTACAGCCCGCTGGACAGACGTGCCACCACCCGCCACCCCGTTGCAGGACGTCAGCTCAGAGCTCACCTTGGGACAAGCACGCTGCGGCCCATAGACAGGGCAGAAGGCCTTCTCCCCGCCAGCGTCCACAGTGTCCACAGGACATCGTCACGGCCACCACCATGACTTGGTTTTCTGTTTCCGGGAACATGACGTGTGAGGGTCCTGCCTGCCGAGAGTCCTCCCGTAACCCCTGCTGCCACCCACTCCCAGGCGGCCAGGGCAAGGCGTCCACAGGCAGGAAGCAAGCCATGGTGCCGGCCCACACCCTTGCTGGCACTGACTTTGCCTTGAATAGAGCCCCCTCCCCCAACAAGCCTTTAATGGAGGCTTATGCACAAGGGAATAGCGCCGTGGATGTGTGTGTCCACAGCCACGCAGAGTGGGGAGTGAGGCCACCAACCAAAGTCAGTTCCTCCCCCTGTGTTTCTAGGTGTTTTTTGTTTGTTTTGTTTTGTTTTTCTTTTTTTTCTCTCTCTCTCTCTATATATATTTTTTTGTTGAAGTCTATTTATTTTTAACTCTCTTCTCCAGACACAATGGCACTGCTTATCTCAAATGGTGTGACTGTCTCCTCCTCGTGGCAGCTGCCAGCGCGCTGTGGGTAGTGTGTGGCCATGGGACCCTGCACACACATGGGAGACCTGGAGGAGGTTCCTGGCTCCAGGCTTTGGATTGGTGCAGCACTGGCCATTGCGGTCACTTGGGGAGTGAATCATTGGACGGAAGATCTTCCTCTCTGTCTCTCCTCCTCTCTGTATATCTGACTTGCTAATGAAAATAAATACATTTTTTTTTTAAAAAAAAAACTTAATTCACTTGATGTAGGTCCAGACTAAGAAAGCCAAAGCCCAGTCCCCCAGCTTCCGCCCTGTGTGCCCTAAGGATACTGTTAGAAACCTAAACCTGCAGTAACTTTGACTCTTTTGTGAGATTAGGATTGGGGTGAGCATGCCAAACACCTATTTTAAAAACAGTGCTGCTGGCAAGGAGGGTGAGCTACCATGTACTGGCCTAAACGGACTGCCTTTCTTCAAGAGAGGGTCCAGAGACCACGAGACGTTCAGAATGACTCAGCGTGACTCTCTTCCGCTCCCTCTTTTATTTTCTCCTCCGTTCTTCCTCTCTGTTCTCTTTCTTGGATTTTTTTTTTTTTTTTAACACCCTTCAGAAAACTATAACTTTTGGGCCCTAAAAGGTCTGGATTGATCGTGCTACTTTCTGAAAGGTAAAAAAATAAATAAATAAATAAATTGGGAGATGGAAATTTTGGATTGGTGGAATACAGTGGATTCATTATTTTTCTATATCAGTGTGCACCATGCTGCACATATTTCATGGCATCATACAAGTGTTTGGTGTGAAGCAGATGGAGTGGGAAATGTCTGTTAGTAACAGTGGAAGTGAGAACAAGCAGTGGAAAGCGGGTGTGTGGGAGCAGCTGGTCCAGAGGGCACTGGAAGGCGCTGGCCCCGACACTGCGCGCAGGGCCTGCAGTCCAGCTAGGGTCAGTTCAACAGCCAGCTTCTTTGAGATTTACATTGCTTACTCATTCATTACAGCTTAAAAATTTCTCAGTGCACTGTTTTTCAGAACTTATTTCAAAGTTAAAACTTAGACTTCTTGAAAAGATTTCTAAATCCTTTCTTGACATGAAACTTTGCAAAGAAATGATATTTGACTGTTTGGTTGTTTTACTGCTTCATAAAAACATCAAAAACTTAAGGATTTTGTGTTGTCAGTTACACTTGAGAAGTTTTGACTACTAAGTTGGAAAGTTTAAGTTCTGTTACTTGTTTCACAAACTGTATCACTGGTTTTAAAAATCGTGAGCCACAGATGGCAGTGGTGTACTTGGATCTTGGGGTGGCCTTTCACCTGATCTGAGCCCACCACCCCATGCCACTGTTTTAATTGGTCCCCCCCCCGCCGCCGGCTGGAGGCTTCCTACCCACACAGTGAGCTCCACTGCGTGAGGAAGCCAGTGTCTGAAAGTGGAAAGACGAAACGTTAAAATGAATTTAAACAAGTAAAAAGAAATACTTACTGATTAACCTATAACTTGGTTCATGCACTAATTTTATTTTTTTTCCTTTTTAGAAAGACAACAAAGTTGCTGCCTAGTCTACAAACCAGTCTTTGAAAAATCAGTGAATTTCCAGCTCTTCGTGGTCCTGAAAGTTGGTTTCAGTCTTTGCGAAGGATGAAGAAGTGAATTTGCTGTATATTTGTCACCAGCACTGGGTTTTTGTTCATTTGTTTGTTTTTCTGCTTAATTTCAAAGATGCAATGCAGTTACTTTGGGGTGGGGGGAGGCTCATCTTTAAAAATGAGCATTAAATATATTTGGAATAGCAGAAGGTTAAGTAATTTCTTATGTATAGTTAAACTAAAACAGTACTTCAATGGGACTTAATAAGTATTTTTTCATCACTGAAAGGATTTTTCTTATCACTAAATTGTATTTGGCAATTAATGCAGGTTGCCTGCAGCTAGGGCCGTGATACTGTGTTTTGAGCCACCGCAGGTTGTGTGTGTGTGTGAACGTGCGTGGGTGTGTGTGTCTGTATCTTTCTCTTTTTGGAAATCCTGTAATATGAGGTAGCCTATTTCGTCAATTAATTAGGGTGCTGGATGGTAGAGACTTGTCAGTCAACTATGTACACACAGTAAATACTGTTTCTTAGGCAAAGGTAACTTTTTTATATAGTTGTAAAATTCCATTATATTCCATTGCCAAAGAAACATTAAGAACTTTGTATAGCTGTATAAAAAGCAACTAATTTTTTAAAGAATAAACATTTTAAAGTCAGCCAACATCCTGTGTCCTTGCAAAAGTTGATGTGCTGAGGAGCAGAGCTGGGGCAGGGCGGGGGCGCTTTCGTTCTCAGCTTTCCAGGCTTCAGATTTTTTGATTTCTTTTTTAATGTTTGGAACATAAATGAAAATTTGATACATTCTTTCATGAGCTAAAAGGGGTAAATTATTCATGCTGGTTGTAAGAACTTCATTTTGTAGCAGATGGCATATCACAGGATTCGTCCAAATAATAGATATTTTCAATATACAAGTGTAAATAATCATAGATAAGAATGTACTTAGCTGTATTTTCAAATAAGTAACTCTCTCCCCTTTTTTAAGACATGAAAACTGCACCTCAATTAACTGGTTCCTCCTGACAAGCCTGGCATTTGGTCCTGGTACCTGACTCATTCCATCACGTTTCAGGAGAGGACTTGGTGTGCAGGACGTGTTTTGGCAGCCTGTAACACATCAGAACACAGGTCCTTGGGCCTGTGACCACAAGTGACTCGTTGCTAATTATAAATTGCTAGTAAACCTTTTTGATATTTTAAGCTATGGTGGAAAAAAAAATGGCCATTTTTGTGTTTTTATGAAGGCCATTGAATAAAGGGATCCAAAGATTTAAATATTTTTATCAATTTTGAGTTTGTTACCCTCTTCCTTAAAGCTTCATTCAGTGGTGATGACCATGTGGAAAACTGCACTGTAGGAGAATTGGAATATTTAAAGATGGTTGATATTTTTAATTTTATATCTTTTGTATAGCTCTACAAGGAAATGTTTTGTAATTTGGTTTCATTATATCCAGTCCTTGGCAGCCATAGTGTAGATAATATTGTTTAGTACTATTTGCTTGCATGTTACCAACAAAACCTTTGGAAGACCCACAAATCATGATATGAAACACATTTCTTCTGAGGCATTCGGAGCATCCAAGAAGTGCTATGGCAATGCCTGTGTAGACTGTTGGAGAGGACCCAGGCCGAGCTCGAGAAGAAACTGTACAAGTTCACGCATTTCCCCCGTTCTCTGGGTCACTCACTAGGGTGTTTGTTGCCCCAATAATAACTGGCAGCATGGCATACTTGCAGTGCACCTTACGATATTAAAGCAAGGTTTCTATTCTAACAAGAATAAAACTGTTCAATAAAACAAAAGTTCGTCAAAGTTTTTTCTCTTTAAACAGTAACGTTCTCTTCCAATGGAAACATAACCAGGTATTTGAAACACAGGAGCAGGGAGGGTATTGGGAGATGTCAGTCCTCGCAATTAAGACACGAACACCCATATCCCATATTGCAGTTACTGGGGTTTGAGTCCCATCTCTGCTTCAGTTCCACCCTCCTGGTAATACATACCCTGGAAGGTAACAGGTAGTTGGGTCCCAACCACCTCCATGAGAGGCCTGGATTGACTTCCACGCTCCTGGCTGCAGCCTGCCCTGAGCGCCTTGGCTATTGTAAGCAATTGGAGAGTGAACCAGCTCATGGAAATAGTTATCTGTGTGTCTCCCTCTCCATCAATCTCTCTGTACCTGCTTTTCAAATAAATAAAAATAATCTTTTAAATTATAACTTACATCCCACTTGTATGTGTCCTGGGTCCGATTTCTGACTCCAGTTCCTGCTAATGCAAACTTTGGGATATAGCAGCAGAGCCCAAGTAATGGGATTTCTGCCACCTACCGACATGGAAGACATGGATTGAGTTCCCTTCTGGTTTTCAAATATGTCCCATCGTGTGAGGGGCCATTTTTGTGGCTTAGATTAATTTGACACGTGGGATGCTGGAATCCCATAGGAGTGCCTGTTTGTGTCCCACCTGCTCCATTACCAATGCTGCTAATGTCCCTGGAAGGCAGCGGAATGTGTCCCAGATGTTTTGGGCCCCTTTGCATGTGGGAGACCTGGATGAAGCTGCTAGTTTTAGCCTGGCATAACCCTGGCCACTACAGCTATCTGGGGAGTGAACCAACGGTGGGAGATGATGTCCCACCACCCCTCCACTTATCAAAAAGATAATCATGAGGAAAATCCATGACAAGAGCTCAGTGAATGAGGACAGTACTGGGTCAAGCTGGAAACTAGTAAATGTACTGCCTTTGGGCAGCACAGTGGGATAGTGGCAGAAGTCCTCACCTTGAAGGTGCCAGGATCCCATATGGGCACCAGTTCTAATCCTAGCATCCCCGCTTCCCATCCAGCTCCCTGCTTGTGGCCTGGGAAAGCAATGTGTGTGTGTGTGTATCTGACTTTGCAACTAAAATAAATCTTAAAAAACTAGAGCTGGCTCATGGCACCATTTTCTCTGCAAAGGCAGGGCTGCATGTGAGAGATAGTGAACAGGTCAGCAGTGTTAGTCCAGCTCAGTTGCTGTCTAGAGAAGAGTAAATTGACATCTCCGTGGGAAGGAGTGTCTGGTGTTTGCTGGCTGATTTCTGTTGCAGCAGTTCAATGAAGATCCCTGGTGTGCTAATGGAGTAAGGTCCCAAGACTAGGCATTTGAGCTAGTGGTTATGATAACCATTTGGGATGCCCACATCCTGTTTAGAAGCACCTGGGTTTGAGTCCCAACTCTAGTCCCAGTTCCAGCTTCCTGCTAACGTGCGTCCCAGTTCATGGTTCAAGTAATAGGACATGTAATTGTCTTACTGGACAGGGTACAAAGTAACCTTATTACTGGGAGCACTGTAAATGTTCGGTTAGGTTAGCGGTATCAGGCACTTTACCCCATCATTCTGTTTTCTAAGTGCAGATCCCATGCCTCTCATTCCGAGTTTCAAATTCTCTGATGTGGCCTGGGAATCCTCCAGTAACCCTGTAAGCGGCTCTGAGGAGAGGAGTTTGGAACAAGTTTGTGCATCATTCCAGCCAGCTCAACTCATCTAGCTCCCTTGCTGTAAAGGGTCCTGGTAAAAATGTCCACTAGTAGGAATGTTACCCTTTTCCCCATCCTTCCACATCTGGTATGCCCAGGTGTGATTGCTGCATGTGGAGAGGGTCGGGGAGAAAGATGTTGAGACGAGATTCCTCCCAAGCTTGACTGCTTAGAGTCTGAGAGCTGGCTTTCCAGCCCTGGCATGGTGTGTACAGCTTCTAAAGTTCTTACATGGGCATCCTGGTCTATTGACTCATCCCTCTGCCAGAGACACTGCTGCCTCATCAAGACCTCTGCCGCTGAGCAGCAGGCTGTGCGGTTTGGAGTCGGCCACTTGGATCCATTCGAATCCAGAGTCCCTGAGTGCAGGATCCCATGCTTTATCTGTTGCAAGATGAAGTTGGAAGCATGTCGCAGTATAAGGTGATTGAGGTCATAGGTTCTTCCTGTAGGAGTTCATGTCAATTTGCATAGTTCACCTGTTAGGACTGTGTTTTGACACGTGGCAAATCTTGGTCCAAGGGGGATTGAACTTGAGGAATAAGGTAGCGTCATGGGGCTCTGAACCCAAGCTTGCTAAGTGAGGACCTGTTCCACGTGCTGCTTTGGCTTCTCCCAAGAGGGGACACAGGGATGATCTCTCAAGAGATGTCCACTAAGTAGGAGCTGGTCAGGTAGGGCAAGAAAAGAGACAGCTTTGAACGGCAGAGGCTGGGAGGGCAGCAACAGCTGCCAGGCAGACAGCTGTTTGTGTGCCCTGGGAGATGGAAGTGCAGGGCCTGGACACCACCGTCGGGGAGGCAGTCCCAGCTGCCAGAGGAAGAGCAGTGTGGGGTTTGTGGCCCGTTTCTCAAGGCCGTTATTAATCAGAGTTGGCCTGTGAGTTTTGAGAGGTTTATAAATCTGGCTGCAAGAATCCAAGGTGGAACACGCATCTTCTGTGGTTTCTGTTTTTGGTGAGAGGCAGTGCTGTGAGCCCAGAGTATGGGGTGTCTGCTCACTTCCAGCTCAATTCACAGTTAATGAACTTGGCTGACGGATCAGAATATTTTCAGGTCTAGGTCATCAACAGCAAAATAGACCTGAATGTGGTTTCATTTCATGGTGAATGTTGAGTTTAAGGAAATGCTTTTAAACGAACTGGTGCCCATGTTGTGGTTTATAACAAAACAAAGAAGCTTTTTGTGAGGCCAAGGCATGTTTCAGTTCAGTAATAAGATTCACTTTGAGTGACTCACCGTCACCCACAATTGAGTTGCATGGAAATGCAGAGCAGCCAGTGAGAAGCACGTGGCCCACACAGGCTTGATTTGCCCTCCAGTCTGGGAATGAAGGAGGCGTGAGAGCCAGGGCCCACGTGAGATGGTGCTGGATTCCAGGGAATCCTACAATGGCACCCGAAGAGCAGAGGCTGGGAGCATGGTTACCTGGCATCTGGCGCATGCCACTGTCCCCTGCCTCTCACCTAATGCATGGGCTCCTCAGATGCCAGCCTCTCCTACGCACCAGGCTGAGAATGCCTTGCTGTTCAGGGCTTTGCTTGTGCCGAGGGCATTTGTCAGTATTTTCTTTTAGGGACCAATTGGGTGATTCTTGATGCCAAAGAGGATTTGTGAACCCTTGCAGGCTGTAAGGGTAGAACATGGCACTATTCACAGGAAGTATACGGGAAAAGATACAGGTAGTGTAGAAGATGAGTTTTAAGAGGACTGGGGGCAGAGGGTGGAAATTACCCGCAATCTCACCACACAGTCACTGAAGCATCCACAGTGTGTGTTCCACCCAACATCAGTCTGTTCAGGCTTGTGTGTTTCAACAAAAAGCGGGGCTGGTGGGATATGGGCTCAGTGGTTCTTTACGTGTATACAGAAAAGAATACATGTCAGGGTCAGCATTCTGACACAGTGGGTTAACCCACTGCTGAAAACACCAGCATCCCATATCCCAGTGCCAATTTGAGTCTGTCTGCTCCACTTCCTGTCCAGCTTCCTACTAATGTACCTGGCTGGGCTGTGGAAGGTGGCCAAGGTGCTAGCAACTGGGCACCCCCATGGAGCTCCAGGCTCTTGACTTTCATCTGGCGCCTGACTATTACAGACATTTTGGAAATGAACCAGCAGACAGAAAATCCCTGGTCCTCCCTCCATCTCAATCACTCTGCCTGTCCCTGAAGGGCAATTGCTCTCCTGAGCTTTCCTTTTAAATGAAGGAGTTGATACAATATACGCACTTGTGCTTGGCAACATGTGCCTCTGTGTTGTTACATTTGCATGTAGACTGCTCTCTCCTGCTGCAGCCTCGCTCCCAGTGCCTTAAGGCGCCTCAGTCTACCCATGCCTCTGTTGCTGGCTTCTGGCTATTGAGCTGGTGCTGGCATCCCTGAACTTGGCAGCTGTTTGGCTTTGCCCACTCCCTAGAGCGCTGTGCCTCTTTTGCTCGTGTGCTAGCTCCTTGACATCTGCCTTTCCCAGGCTTACACGACTGGTTTGCTTCTTTCCCTGCCCGCATTCTGCTCCTGTCTGAATAAAGTGTCCTTCTCATTAGCACTTAATTATGAGGCTAGCGTGATGCTGCATATAATTAATTGTGTTTTATTAATATAATAGCAGCATGGCATGTCGATGATGCTGTAGACTCCCTTTGAAAGGAGCGTACCCTTTGATCCCACGCCCACCAGCTGCCTT